CTTCATTGCTTTACCCAGAAATCTTCGTCTTCATTTTCACTTTCACTTCATTCATATATGTATGTTTCCCTTCATACAACCGCTTCTTCCGCTTCCTTTATCCCTAAAATGAACTTTCGAAACTCACACACACATAACATGCTTCTAGTTATGTCCACGTGCATTTAACACGTGCGACCTTTCACGTCCTCATTACATATTCAACTGGGCACGTGCATTTTCAATCTTCCACCTGCATTCTGCTGCTACTGAGCTGTTCGAGCTCGAATAAATGTTTTTCAGTTCCTTTTTTCGTTTTTTCTCTTTTCCGCTACTGCTACTGCTGCTCCGATTGGTTTTGAGGTTGAAATGCGTAAAGAGAAGACAATCATCCAGTGTATTGGCTATAAAACCTAAAATGACATGAAATTAATAATTTTTTTTTGATGAAAATTGAAATGGAAAGGTTGCTGATTGTTTTGAGCTGACGAAAGAGAAGATGAAGCTAAACCTCTGATGGAAACAAAAACAAAACAGAACGTGTGCACAGTCTGCTGCTGACTGAAGGTACTATTTGAAATCATTTGATGCAACAACACCCACTAATGAAAAAAATAAAAAGAGAAAGAAAAAGAATAGAAAGTTTGGCTTCAATTAGCAGTGTCGTCAAGATTTTTCATGCTGCCCAGTGAAAAGGGCAATTAGCCTGAAGGCACAGCTATAGCAGCAAAATAAATTTTTTTTTTAATTTCATTGAAACTCGAAAGATTTTATAAGGAAATGCAGCTTGACTTTCTTGTCGAGTTGAGCTTCATCAACAACGAATAGGATTCTGTAAGTTGACGGACGACAACGTTCAAAACGAAATTTTAAGTTGTCAAACGGACGTAGATGAAGTGGACGATGCTTTAAGACTAATGAAACGAGAACATGTCATGAAGACCTTTCTCGTTACTTGAACAGAATAAATGATTTTTATAAAATATTCGTCATACTTAAAGCAGTTTTAAGCATTCCTACAAGTCATTTTCATGGAAATAACTTTTCCTCTCCGAAATTGAATGCCCCAAGGCCATATAAGCTAGAAGTCGAGTTTGTCATCTTCACAAATCCTCAACATCTCCTTCTTCTTCTTTCACTTCTATTTTCTTTCAATTTTTTTTTCTTAAAATTTATTTTGGTCATCTTAATATTTAATTATTGATTTCCTATTCTCTTGATTCGCTTCTTCATCCTCCCTCCTTCATCCATCTTCTTCTCTCTCTCTATTCCTCTCTACTGCTCATCTCACCCTCCTTTTACCAGCTCATTTCCTCAGATTTTTCAACATTTCTTTTTCTGCTACAAAGCCCAGTTTATTCCCTCTTTTTACCAAAAAAAGCTCTCATTACTGCATCACACTTCGTTTAGCAATTTAACGAATAAGCCGACTGGGATCGAAACACTCCTCCTTTCTCCTTAAGTTCTTGCATTTGCTCTCTTCCTCTCCCCCTTCACAAAAAAGATTATACTCTGGTAATGCTTTTTCTATCTCTCTCTCTCTCTCTCCCCTTCTTTTCATTTTCCAAGAACACCTTCTAGCCAGTTGCTCTTTTCCACTCGGTGATCTCTGTGTTTCCTTCTATGATCTCGAATAGTTTACTGATTGTCTTTAAACTACCCTACATCTCTGTCTCTCTATAGATCTTTCACTCTTCTATATCTCATATCCATGGCATACATCAAACTCTGCCCGAATCCATCTGTTTTATCGTCACCCAAACTTTCATTATTCATAATTTTGAGTTTTTGTTTTGCGAGCAAGAAAAAACGCCACCTCATACTTTCTATTCGCAGTTTCTCTTTCTCTTCATGCACACACAAACACAGACAGACATCACAGTTTTCTTTTTCAACAATCGTCTTCTGAATCTGAAGAATTATTAATATTGCTTTAGAATATAATTATATTCACCCTTCCCTCCCTCTCTTTTCTCTCTATAATAATCTCTTCTCTCTGTGAAGATTTTGCACCAAAAACAGGAAAGCCAATCAACGCTGAAGCTTTTGAAATTTATAGTAACATTGAGCTTTCAACTCTACAAATTCATTGTTTTCTTTCCCTCTCTCTCTGTCTCTTTCTATATCTCCCACTCTCTCTCTGTCTCTTTTACTCTCCATCTTTATTCCCTCAAACCATATGAATTCAAACTTCTCACCATCTATCAGTCTCTTGTTCTTAATCATACTCTCTCATTCACTCACTGTCTCTCTCTCTCTATTCATTTATTTCTGGATGGAAATGAGAGTGATCATGATGATCGTCTAAAATCTCGTCATCATCACCTCCACACAATTTGGCAGAAAATAAATGCTTCTCATCTGCATTTCGTTCTAAAAATAAAATAAAAAGATCAACACTTCATCTTTCATATTGTTTCTTTTCCTGTTGCTCTGCTCTTCTTTGTTTCTCTCATTACAAATAATAGAGGTAGTTAACTATCTAAATTATTTGAAGATTGGAAAGTTTGTTCCCTGAAGCACATCTGGAAAACGTTTTTTTGTGTATTCAATAGATACAGATAGACAGAGAGAGATAGAGAGTTGATCACACATCCACTAACCAATACTAACCTATTCATGTTATCGTTGCTCCCATTTTTCGCTTCCTCAATCCCATGTCTCTCAAACTTGCCCTCGCGTGAAGTCGTTCTCTCCTTCCTCATGAGATAAGAAAGTGTTCCTAGAACACAAATATATTTAAAATGATTAATTGGCATTTCATAAATATTCACGTTTATTTATTTAAATTTAGCACAAAAAACCCTCGCACATGCCAACTGTTGTCATCTCATCTCCTCAGCTTGTTCTCTCCCTCACATCTCTCTTTCTTTATATCTCTCTCCCTCTCTTGTCTCACTCTCATTATCACATTATATCTCATGCTATTTCTCATCGGATAATCTGAGTTACTGCTCATTTTCCATCTATTTTTACTTCTTTTTTTTTTCTTTCATAAAAAACAAATTTTTCATTTTTTTTTGCTGTCTAATTTCTGTCATCAAACAAGATACAAAACCCTGAGGGCATTTGACGTTCATCCAATTGGTCATCTATCTTTTATCTTTTTCTTCTTCTTTCCTTTCACTTCTTCACATCATTCGCTAAGTGTCTGCATATAACGTTACTACCAAACGAACTTTTTTTTTTGCCTTCTCGTCGAGCTTCACCAAAATCCATCTTTCCTGTCATTTTTTGAATTAACTTTGAGTTTCAAAAACTGCTCTTGCATACCTAATGACTTCTGTCCTTTTATGTCCTTATATGTGCCTTTCACATCTTTCCCATTCTCCATTTCTCTTTGGCTCTCTCTTAGACTCACTGTCTTCATTAGTTTGTCTGTCTTCTGTGTCTAAACATATCCAGCCATCCTTGTATGGCTTCTTCTATCATAATGATAATCAACAACGTAACTAATGTTTAACATATGTTTTAATCTTACAAACTGATTGATCAGTGATAAGCGTTTTGTTTGAAAAAATACGAACACACACACACACACTCACCCATCCCGAATTCTTCGTTGTTTTTCGATCGCCGTCAATCTTCTGAGCTTTTCCAATACATTTTTATTTTAATTTTTTCTCTCTCAAATCTGTTATGAAAATTATAAATTTTCCCAAATGGAGTTTGTCCTTGTGAAGTTGGAAAACAATCTTTTTCTTTCCGCCAGGCTTATTCATTGAATTGTTCGATGAAACAATTCTCTAAGTCCTTCTCAATTACTTGAGGTATCAACTTAATCATAGACATAAAAGGAGATTATGCTTTCAACCCACGGAACTGCCTTAGCCTCACAGAGAGAGAGAAAGGAAAAAAGAGAGAGGTAGAGAGGTAAAATGAAAATTGAATGACGACTGTCAATTTATAACTTTCAGCTGCTTCCATATTTCGGCTTCTTGTCCTCCACCTCTTAATTTTTCCTTGGACTCCTTTTCCTCCCTCAATCCTTTTTTTTGTCTTATTCTCTCTTCCTCTTTCTCTCTCCCTCTATACTTACAATATCCTTGTCTTTCTCTTAGTACTTTTTCTCTCTCTCTCCCCAAAGGGAATCAAGCTATAATTCCGATCTAACCACGCCCCATGACTTCCGTCAGTTTCCGAGGGATTGACGGAGCAGACAAAACTCCAGAAAACAGAAACATGCTAACCCGACATTTCATCCACTAGTCATCTTTCTAAACTTTTCTTTCGTCATTTTTTCTCTTGTCATCTCTCCCATTTCCAACTAATCGCATTTTTGTCTGTCATCCAAGGTTTTCTTCCTCCTCACCACCAAGACCAAAATTTATTCGGAAAACTCTTAAGAGCAGAGGCAAAATACTTGAGCGACAAGCTAATTTCAAATCTACAATTTCAAGATGAACGACATCGTGGTGTCTTCAAACTCACTTGAACACCCAAAAATTTTTTTGAGATTTTATGGTAATTGTCCATTTCTTGACGATTTTTCTTCCTCTTTTCTTTTTTATAGTCTACACTCTCTCTCTCGTCTCTTGAATCATTTCTCTATTTCGTTCTTTGCACTCTTTTTATAGAATTCGTGATCGGACCAAATGATAAAAGCTCATTAGCCTCAAACTCAGACATCACATCTAGTAACACCTGAATCATCTTTATGTTCTTGCTTTTAAGCGAACAAAAAATTGAAACTTTGCTCATAGACTCTGTCAGTTTTGTTCTAAACAGCCACTCATTTCGAACATTCGAACTTTGCCATATTTGACCTTGTGTTCTGTTCTCTTCATCACCATTTACAAGTCTTGGATAACAACTTTAGAAACAACAGGAAGCCTTTACGTTATTAGGACATTCTAAGCTTTTACTCTTCATTCAGCATCCTCTTTATCTGGGCGTTTGCCTAAGCTTTTTCCCAATTTGTTAGTAGTTAAAAGACTTTTTTTTTATTTCGTTCACATTTGCTCTTACGAACGTCTTCAAATGATATTTATGTTATTTTTCACAGATATTGCCCGTTCGTCATGACGACGACATTCTCCCCAGCACTTCTGACAGATTCTCCACCAAAGCCCCTACTAACTGACCGACTAGAACTATATTCGCTTCTGTTGGTTTTTGCTCTTGGGGCTCCGATGAATCTGGGCGCCTGGGTTCAGGTACTCTATTATTCTTTTATGATATTCAACACAGTTCCGACTAAAGATGTTCATTGGCTATGAATAACAAGAGAGAAAACCTTGTAAACTTTATTATTTTGTTTTCGTCAAACTTGTCTGTAATTAAAATTTAAAAGAATTTATGACCAAAGCCCTAGAAAGAGAATTGGAATACATACATTCATTTCACCGTTAACACATAGTTTGAAGCATCAAAACATTATGAATTTATGGAAAACTGCCCTTTTTCATGTCATTCATAGAAGCAGTTTTTCTATTCGATTGTCTTTCATCAGTTTTGGATAAAGTAGAAAGTCATTTAAGTCATCTGTTAAATACTATCTTTCTATATCTCTCTCTCTCTCTCCCTTTCTATCTCACTCACTTTACCAAGCACTTCATAGAAAGGAATGGATAGAAAGAATGAGTGAGAGAGCGTGAAGTGAGTAAAAAGAAGTAACAAATGTCATTTTGAGAAAGAGATACACTGCGTTCAACATCCAAATCTAAAAATAGAGGAAAGGCGTCATGAATGTAACCGCACGATAGATTGCTCAAAACTGAAAATGAACAAGGTGGGAATAATGATATTCACGTCATTACTGAGAATTATTCGATCGAATGATTTATGCAAATGAGCTAATTAGAAAACGTAAAGAAGGAGCAACTCCAATATATAAGTTTATATTCTGTTGTTATTCATGTCGAAGATAAAGCTTCAACAGGGAACCAAAAACGAAGAAGCAAAAAGGTAGTTGAATGGAAGAGAATGAGAGAAAAGGAAACGTACATTGCATTAGCTGAGCTTGTATCTGAGCAGAAAACTTGAATGTAATGCTTTAACAAACGTAGAAAAGATCATTTTCTACCAAATAAGGCTATTGTGTATATACGTATAAGGAAATGTATTTCAGCAAAGGGAAAAGCCAACGATTAGTCGATTAGATTTACTCAAGAAACATCTAAACCATGCTGATTTAACAATAATATTTGTCTACGTACCTTCCAGGTAAGACACAAATGGCCAAATGAGGCTTAATGAATAGAATAAGTAATTTAATTTTTTTATTATCTACAGAATCTGTTGGATACTAACATATGATTGGAGAGGTGGCGATATGCTGTGCAAAGTTGTCAAGTTTATGCATACTTTCAGTTTTCAAGTAAATCCAATTCTGTTCTTTCGCCATTCACATTCTTGTGTTCCGTTATAGGCTTCTTCAAATATTATTGTTTGTATCGCCATAGATCGCTTATTTTCCATATTATGTGATTCGTATAAATGTCCGACGAGAGGAAAGAATCGAACAAGGAAAATGCTTTTCATAGGTTTTCATATCCTTTCTTTAAACTTTATTTTTCATTAATTTATAGCTTGGCTATTGGCTGTCATAATTAGCTTCCCACAAATACTTGTATGGAAAAACTTTTTGGTATTTCCTGATCATCGTTGGTATCAGTGCATGACGGTTAGTTTGCGGTTAAAGATAGAAGATGAAAGATTATCCTTAATATGGTGAGAGGAGGAACTGCATATGTATGTACGTGCATATGAGTGTGTAGTTGAGAGAGAAATCTTAAGCTAAATACATGATGGGTGCTAAGAAATATATATCTCTCTCACTTTTCAGATCTGGGAGGTTGCTCGTCACGAACGGAAAGCGAAAGATCCAAGATTATTCGATTTGGAAACGTTTTATAGCATTGCTCACATATGCCTTGTGTTTTGGATCCCGGCTGTTATCATAGCTGTCAGTTGATTTTTCATCTTTTGGAGAACATTTCCAACCTTTCATTGACCTTCTTCCTAGATACATCATCTAGCAGCATATTTCTTTTAACGACATCTCAACAATTTTGAGTTGAAATATGCAAATTTGAAGTTGATATACTCAAAACATGTTTTAGTACAAGTCATAAGAAGTAGTCAAATGGTCAAAAGTACTCAAAACTAAGCCAATTTCTGAAATACAGTAGTCACTAACCTTAAATGGATATTAAGTACAAAATACTCAAAAAATATTTTTAAGTATTTCGTCTTCATTTCATGTTTAAGTTCAAGTGGTAATTTTCTTGAAATAAAACTGAAAAGAAGCAAAAAACAAAATATCAGAATCCGCTCGAAAGTGATCAATCTACGTGAGATCACGTCAAGTTCACGTAGAGCTTTGTCTGAACTCATTGAGATCATTTAATTGCAAAAACATGTGATGAGTGGTTGCTAGCTAACAAACATATTTTTCTTTGTTCACAAACACGAAAGATGATTTTTGTTCTTTCAGATTTCTTACGTGAGTGTGTTATCATGGGTTTGGGTCAATAGTCGATCAACAAATAAAGCAAATCCGATCGTTCAAAGACGAAGTGGTGGAAGCTTTGGTGGCGAAACAGCTGAGACATTACTTACTCGTGCATCAGGTGAATATATTGATAATTTGAAAAAGCTTTAGTATGAAAAATTCATTTTATACATTCGCAAATATTCTGTTTTAGTGATCATTTTGATGTTTTTTATTGTAGAGTGGAATCCTTTACGTAATCTTTCAATTTCGAAACATCTAAAAGATTCTACTGACGGCAAAGGCATAGGTATTAACAACTAAATTTATTTGATGAAAAAAAAGAAATATTCTGATAGATTAATAGTCTGAGGGCTTTCAAATTACAAAAATGAATCCTTTTCAGCTCTTAATACGTATGACCGACCACCACAAATAATTGTCTTGGACGATAGTAATGAACCTCTCACACGACCCTCAATTACTCCAAGTGAAGCAAGTGCTGTAATTCGAACAAATGTTCATACAAGCCAATCTTATTCAGCAAGTGTCACCCGGTTTGCTCAAAAAAACCAAAGAATAATGACAACTTCGTTACAGAGCTAGAGCTTTCCGTATTTCATGTCTTTTAATCGTAGCATATATCGTCTGCTGGTTTCCGTACAACTTCTTATCTCTCCTCCGACTACTGGATCAGCATTTATTTAAAAAACTGGTGGATAATGTAAGAAATAATGTGTCATAATAGCATTACTATACACTTTTAATTATAGCTATATTTTGCGCAGCAGTTGATGGTTTTTACGGCCGTGTTGAATCCGTACCTATATGGTCAAGTGAGGATCACATGTACTCGTTGCTGATATCTAATCAATGTATCAAATCTACCGATAAGTATAGGTCTCTCTGGACAATCGGGTTTCTTTCAATGTGTACAAAATTCCAAACCTTATAAACTTATTATTCTACATTTATTTCTTTCTTTTTATATATCAGCTTAGAGTTAACACAACACAACAACAAGGGTCACCCCCTTCTCAGTACAAACACACACGAGACATGAAACAAGCCTTAAAACCCCTAGGATAAAACGATGTGAGTAGAAGCCTATCAAGTTCATGTTCTAATCGTTTCTTGGAGCTTAATAAATTAAAATTATATTTTATTACAACTTAAATGTTGTTAACACGTATAATTTCAATAAATAAAACACATTAATTAAATTAGAAGAACATGGCAGCTACTCCTCCCATTTCTTGTTGCTCCTTTACAAAGATCTCGAAGTATTGGTAGATGATGGTAACAGCCAACAAGATTCCAGTTCCGGAACCAATAGCACCCATGAAGTCGGCTGTGACAGAAAGAGCTCCGATGCAGAGACCACCGAAAGCAGCAGCAGTTGGAATGTATCTGTTGAGCTCATGGACCATAGAGTTTTCTCTGTGTCCACGCATGGTCATTTGTTGTTCCTTGAGCTGCTTGGCGACATCCTTAGCGGATGATCCAGATACATCGATCCAGGTCTTGGAGAAGAATGCGCAGGATCCGAGCATGAAGACGATGTAAACGATGCAGTGAATAGGGTCTTCAAGAATGTGAGCAAGAGTATCGGGTGGTGAGAGGTAGTAGCAGAGACCTAAGATAGAAAATATAAAAATATATCAAGAGATTTGTAAACAAACCTCCAGTTGGGTAACTGCGGTAGCTTCCGGAAGCATCAGACCAGGTTCCGAGAATGTTAACGAGGAAGTTTCCTCCGAACTTGGCGGCGAGCATCTATAACAAAACCGATCATTATTCAGACGTCCTTGAAGGATCTGACGAACCTGAGAGATAACGTAAAGGTTAGAAACGAGAGCAGATTGAAGGATGATAGGAATGTTAGAGGTGTAGAAGAGCTTGATTGGGTATGAGCTGTACTGTCCACGGAACTTGGCAGACTTGATTGGAAGGTCAACGCGGAATCCCTAGAAAGGATACTTAGAAAAACTCGGTCAAATCGATAAACATACTTGGAAGTAAATGACAACGGCAAAGACGAGAACGGTAGCCATCAAGTTCATGAGATTGGGAAGGTTCTGTCTGTAGAAAGCCTCTCTAAGAGCTCTGATCTATAAATACATTATTATTATGATAACAGTTTGTTACTGTTCACCTTGTCGGAACGGGTAGCGAGAAGATGGAACAATGCTATGACAGCTCCTTCGAACTCAGTTCCTCTACCGGTGTTCATAGTCGCTGGAGAGAAAGCCTTCCAGACGATGGTCTCGCAAATGTTGGTTGCGATGAAAAGAGAAATACCAGATCCAAGACCATAACCTTTCTGAAGAAGTGTCAATGAATTTGATAAGAGAGATAAGGACAAACCTGAAGAAGTTCATCCAGAAGAAGAACAATGAGTCCAGCAATAACAAGTTGAACGACGATGAGAAGGCAGATTCCGGCTCCGATTTCAGCTGGATCTCCGTAAAGTCCAGACATGACGTAGACAATAGCTTGACCGATAGTGATGACCATACCAAAGACTGCAAAATTAGAGTAAAATATCTTTTTTTTTTGTAATTTTATACGTTTTTGAGCTCCGTTGAAGAGAGCGCGATCCTTGGGAGTGTCTCCAACTTCAATGATCTTAGCACCAGCCAGGAGCTGCATGATAAGACCAGAAGTAACAATGGGAGAAATACCCAACTCCATAAGGGTTCCTCTGTTAGAAGCAAGAATTACTCTCAACCAGTAGAATGGATCAGCAGAATCAGTGGACATAATTCCTGTAACGTCGAAGGGTGAGATTTGAAGAATTGGGTTAGAATACCGAAAAGAGGAATTTGACAGCAGACAAGGAAAACAAAGAGAGTTATAGCTGTCCAGAGCATCTTCTCTCTGAATTGAATTTTACGTTCGGGCTTGGATACCTCTGGTACCCAGCCGCAAAACGGCTTGACAAATTCAAGAAATTTGACTGAAAACATAATTTAATAGTTTCGGGTTCATATTATGCAAATTTAATTAATAATAATGCAAATCAACTTACTTCCCATGTTAAATAATATCCAAGAAACTAGTAGATCTTCCTATTCCAAGAATGAAACCCAGCAGAGACACCACAAGTGGGGAACTGGATGTCGAAAAGGTACGCCGCGGCTTTGGTGAGCACAATTTGCCAACGCACTACCGTATCCGACTGCAAAAATCTGAGGTCAGAAGTCGATCTTGCCAATTTTGATCAAAAACATAGGTCATAGTATATCATTTTAAAGCTCTCTTTACAAAAAAAATTATGATAGATCAAAAAAGTTGTGAAAATATCTTTTAAACAGGAATTTTTTAATAAATTAGTTAAATTAAGGCTCCGCCCACCGACCAAAAACGCCAGACTGCAAGGTCCCGACGCGAAGAAGTCTTTTCGCACACTCCACAAAATGTTGAATTAGTTCTGACGCGAAGAAAAAAAGTACAGTATGCCGTTTAAATTTCTCTTTCTCTGTCTGGAGGTGGTCATTCCTAAATTTCCCCTTATATCTTCTTTGAAATCCATGTTGAGCTTTGTTGTTTATTAGTTATATTATTACCAAAAAGTTTTATTATTACTTACTTTCATTTTCATTTTCTTTGTTTTACTTTTTACATGTTTATTGATTGATTTTTCATTGATTTTCCTCAATTTTTTAGCGGTAATACATCAGGACCAAACATGTCCCTGATTCTTCCTGAGAAGTTCCAACACATTCATCGTGTGATGAACACCAACATCGATGGTAACCGCAAGGTTCCATACGCCCTTACTTCCATCAAGGTTTGTGAGCCATGTATTAGTTTTTTAATGTCATTGCTTTAGGGAGTTGGACGTCGTTTCGCTTTCCTCTGCTGCCGTAAGGCCGATGTTGATATCAACAGACGCGCCGGAGAGCTCACTGAAGATGATTTCGAGAAGATCACCACCATTATGCAGAATCCATCTCAATACAAGATCCCCAACTGGTTCCTCAACAGACAAAAAGATTGCAAGGACGGAAAATATTCCCAAGTATGTAAATTTATATGTATTTTTTGTTATTGTGGCTTTTTTAGCTTCTCTCCACCGCTGTTGATAACAAGCTCCGTGAGGATCTTGAACGCATGAAGAAGATCCGCCTTCACAGAGGTCTTCGTCATTACTGGGGACTCCGTGTTCGTGGTCAACATACCAAGACTACCGGACGTAAGGGACGCACTGTCGGAGTGTCCAAGAAGAAGGGAGGATAAATGCACTTGTTCTCGGGGTGTTGTTTCTGTTAATACCTCGATAAATCGTTATAACTTTATCATTTATTCTTTTTTAATTTTGTTTCTATCTAGCTCAATGCACACTTGATTGAAGTAATATCCTAGGACAAATAAATGGAATAGCACAAAGCCAGAGTTGAACCTGAAATGTTTGGGTTCGTTTTAACTTGTGAATCTCTGAGCTTGCCTATCAATTCTAACGTTCAATGTTAACATATCCTTAAGTCCCCCATACAGAAGCTTCGAAAAGACAGTTTCACCTATCCCCTCTTGACCCAAGAAGAAGAATACGCCGAATATTCCTATTGAAACTTTTTTTTTCTTTTGCTCTGTTCTTGTTACCTGGAATGACTGTGGCTAGCATTCCAATTGCTATGATTCTCCTTGTGTTCAATTCTCCTATACGATTTTTGAATTGTTGAAACTGTTCAGTACTCCAAATCGCTTTACCAATCTTCTCAATGATGAGTTCGAGTGCTGACAAGGAAACCTAAATTGGGGTTTACCAGTGTATTGGGTCTAATATCTGTTACCCAGCACAATGTGTGAAAGCGCAACCCATGCCATGCTATTACCACGCTAAATACAGCTACTAGAGTACCTAGTCCGCGCAAGATCGACAGGTGAAGAGGTAGAACAGGCATCATGAGAGGCAGATACACCTGAAAGTTTGAATGAGACTTTGATCGGCAAGATTCTTTAAACGTTATGTTTGAGGAATTGGTATAGACCGTAATCAAAGTGTCTCCACATCCTCGAGTAACGAGAAACTCTAGAAATACAGATAGGTGGAGGTGGCGGGATCATTCCTGCAAGGTGATTAAGTGAATCAAAACTCTACGCTTTCCATACCATCTACCATAGCAAAGAAGGAAGGAAGTCCAAAAATGACGACATATTTCAAATGGAAGAACTGGCCCGCAACATATGCTACGGATGCGACTGGAAAACAGGAGTTTTCATCGTTATCAATCCAAACTCACGTTCATATTTGTCTAGTTGATCAATAACAGTGAAAGGAGAATTGAATAAAGCGTTTACATGAATGAAATGAAGAAGGATGTCATAAACGAACATCCAGAATATAACTCGTAATCCAAATATTAGACAATTTCTGAAAAAAAAAGTTTATAACAGTTTCTCCGAATCGTAGAAATACTTATTAGGTAATTGAGGACCAGCCTTCAATCTCTCCCTTATTTGATTTTGGAAGTCTTCGAACCGTACAATAAGTGACATAGAATAAGGTAAGTAGGAGACGTATAGCATATGTTCCATAAAGATATCACGGTAGTTAATCTCAGGATTCCGGCAAAGATACAAGCAAAAATTTAAAAGCTAAAACTTTGACTGAGTCTTCTCATTCATTGTTCCTTACAATACCTTGAAAGCATTGTACAGATATACATTGAACTCTCTATAGAAAGTGTGAAGTCCGACTGTATAAGGCAGATATTCGTGAGCTTTTATTACAAAAGCTATACACAAAACCCAAACCAAAGTCTTGCTTTGTGTTTTCTTAGCTAAACAGACTACAACCAGACTGAATAGAAGAACAAAAGCCATACATCGCAAGCTTAATGAGTTATGTTATGCAGCTATTCATCCTCTCTTTACCTAGTCATGTGAACCTGTGTAGCAATACCTAATGTTACTAAAAGTATTTGAGACGCTGCTCCATCGAACAACTTAGTTATCAAATAGAATCTATTAATGATCTTAAAAACGGTTCTCAACTGGAAAACAAACCCTAGGGAATTAAACAAATTAGAAGAAGCCATGTGATAAACTCCTAATCGGAAAACTTTCCACTCGTTGTCAGAATTGTCTATTCGCAGATCATCAGAATATCTTTAAGCAATATTTAGCGGGGGAAGGTCTTATCTCGTAACTTACGACGATTTTTCAAGCCAATGGCCTATCCAACGACTGAGACTTCCGGTGGAAACATTATAAGCGATAACGAATGCGGCTAATGAATGAAATGTCCAAACGGCAAAACTGAGACGTTTTTCCCAATTAGGTAGTGATACCGGAGTAAAATAAGTAGAAACCATTCTTCAAATATGCAAGAGAATGTATGTAAGCTGACCAAATCCACACGAACGTTGTATGTACAAGGAAGAATGTATGAGAAAATGGTCATAAAGTTTGAATAGAGGTTATGTTGAATAAGAAATCAATACAAAAAGATATTCGTAGCCATACAAGGATTATGAGAGCCCTAAGTAAATAATGTTATTAGTATAATGACATATTTGAAAGATTTCGCATCTTCTCACACGAACGCAACCGATCACCTTGTAACAAGCAGTCAAAATGAAAAACATGGGTGATTTACTCGATATTCGGTATTACCACGTATACTTATGCAAATTTACATAAGAATCCACTCGCATAAGTTAATTGATTGAGCGGAAAAGAAAACTTGAACACACGTCCTTGAAATTGAAAAAGTAATGACTCATCGCAAATATAAATTCATATTATCTGTAACAGAACTTGGCCTGGCTCATGAGCCATCTTGATGACAGAAACAAAATATTTTTGTAAAAAAATTAAATAATGAGCGAAGAAGTTCAAAAGCGTAAAGTCGTTAACAAGAATGAAGAAGAGCAAAAAGAGTGGGCGATATGAGAGAGTGAGGAAAGCAAACCTCACCATTGAGGTTATAAGAGGACGACCGCGAGAGCCAAGTCCTATTTCGGTTACATTGACCTCCCTCAGGTGCAATTTCTGTTGTTCAGTCAGCTGACCCGATGAGGACAATGGAATGGATAAAAGACCGTCATTTATCCTGCGTACGGATGTCGAAAAATACCTTTTTACTCATCTTTTTTACCTGAATAGAAAACTGAAGGCAAGTTTGATCAAAGTAACATTTTGAAAGGTTTATTGGGAAGGTTGTCATAGAACTGTATCTTCATAAGCATCATTGAGAGAAAATTATTATTCTTCGTCCGCATAGTTACAGATGTGATTGTCTATATCAGTATTGAATCCCTGAAAACCATATATCACATGAGAGATATATTTTTTGAAAAAGTTTACATTCAATTGTTGGGCTTTACTACCAAACTGGCCATTTATCAAAGCTTTCAGTTTTTCACCCATGAAAACTGCTTGAGCATTTGGTGAGAACTTCAAGTTGTTCTTGCATTTCTTCTTTCCTCCTATATTATTTTCAATTAGAAAATTGTTTTTTTTTGTCTGTCCTTACCATTGTTTTGTTTTGTTGTGGTTGTTGCTACAGTGGTGGTGGTAGTTGTTGTAGTAGTGGGGGCTGAGGGAGCTGTTTACGGAAAGATTAAAGTATAGCATCAAACAAATTCTTACGAGCATCTGCTTCTGGAGGTAAAACGACGTTACATAGCTGTTCCGGACAGATACACACTTCTTCAGCTCCCGCAACTTTGTTACATCGAACCTGCAAAGCTCAAAACGGTGTGAGGCAATCTTAGAGGAAGCAGCTCAACGTTAATGTTTGTTGTTTCCCAACTAGTACCACAGAACGATCTTGGATTCTGTCCTCTTTCTTAATGGATTCAAATGAGAGTTCGAGTTTGCTAATCAGATGGAAATACTTGTAACACAATGTTGTCCAAGACACATAGATTGTTCCGTACATGGAATTTGACGCGTCAAACCATTAATAGAAACATTGCCACACTCCATACACATTATATTGTTTTCCAGATTTGGATGATGAAAATCAAAGTTTTTACTGAAACGAAGTTGTTTTCTCTTCTGTTGAGCACAAAAAGCTTACAATGGAGGATCGGCTGACCAAAAATTCCGAAGTGCTTCAGCCCCAATATCAAAATTATTGCAAAAATCTTCTGCACAAGTGCATCCCGATTGAACTCCCTCGTGCAATTGGCAAACTAATTCTGTCGTAGCTACATCTTCATCAGAACATCCGGCGTCCCATCCACTCTCTCCATCATGATCTGCAAATTCAATTTTTTTTCTAATTTCATCAGCCTTTTTTCGAATTTGCTCATTGCTTTCTGCTTGTTGTTATGATTGCTAATGGAAATTTGAGAATTAGAATGAGAGGGAGTTTGTTCTAAAGTTGGAAGATTTGCCGCTTAAAAGGACAACCTCCCACATAGTCAATACGTTTCCGCCTTAGTTCAACCTGATATGGCTGATGTGTGCGGATAAGTCTTAGACTTACTAAAGTAACACGATTTTCCAGTACACAAATGGTCAATCGAACAATATTGCCCAACTGTTGAGGAGTTTCCATAGCAACTATAACATACCATCTGAAATAGATGAAAAGTTTTAAATAATTTACAAATTATAATATGAAAAACCTCTGCTGCAGCTATTGCTTGTATGAAAACAATGGAAAGAATGAAAGAGAACATTCTCTCAATTGAATTGAGAGAGATTTTCTCTTCCAATTCGAAAATACTTTTTCTGTAAATGAGACTTTTTTTTTCTTTCTTTTGTAATATGAAAAGTAATGTAAATGACAATTTGGAGGTTTGAATCTCAAATCAATGATTAGGAGAAGAGAAAGCAATCAGTTTGAGTTTCTAGGGAAACGGCTGCTGTTTCTTATTCTCCTTTTTTAGACATAGTCAAGTGAAACAAGAAAGAGGTAGATAATTTTGTTAAAAAAGTGATGTGGAGATCGATGAAGAGAATAGGTAAACGATGAAGGAGTATCATCATAGAGGGAGAGAGGGAGAGAGAGAGAGAGAGAAGGAGGAAATTATCGAGATAGGTATAGATACAGAGAGGATACGAGTGGGAGTGGAAAGGTACGCAAGAATGGGTCCAGTTAGCCCAGTAAACCAGATGTATCTGTATTAACGGCGGTCTGTTAAGCTTCAGATTATTCCAATCAAAACGTTATTTGGTAATTGAGAGATTTTTTATTTTCGTAGGTGTCTCTTGTGTATGTGTGTGTGTATGTGGTTGTGCGTGTGTGTGTGAAAACAGTTTGAAAATAAAGAAAAACAACTAAGCTTCATTCAACTTTCTTCAGTTTTCTCGAGAATCTATCACTTCTTCTGTTTCCTTTTTTTATGCAAACACATCTGATTATAATAGATATTCTATGTTTTGCACAACATCATAATCGATTATAAAAAGCCTTTTTTCATTGATCGAAAAACGGTTTCTGATAACAGCTCATCGAATCATATGCTTTATAGCTTCAGAACGTAGTCGCCTGTCTGCTTACTATTCTTTTCATATTTTATTTATAATTAATATTTATCATCTTATTTATACATATACACTTCTATATACAGATGTGTTTCTACCCAAAAATAAAGCTGCAACGAGCATCATCATTACATTTGAAAAAGAAAATTTTTTTTTTCAATTCTCATTTTTCTGGTTCAAATGCAACCGCTCAAGCGCGCTATCCAAATCAAAATGAAAATGAAACGCATCTCCATGTGTAAACAACATGTAAATATGCTAATTAGCTCTTAGCTCTTTCACATTTTTTTTAATTTGAAAATATGATGATCGTTTATGATGTTTGGACATGTGAGATATGAAGTGATTCCTACTTATCCACTGTTTTTCAATCTTCTCACATTAATTTCCTTTTTTAGATGAAACCAAAATCTTTTTCTATCAGATTATCAGATTTATCTCTTCGTTGAGCAGTGTACATGCGAAACAGTTCGAAGTTTCAGTTTTGTTCGAAAATATTTCGTAAAACTGAAGTCACAACATCGACTCCATTTTCTTCCTCCTATGACTTACGTTATGGTTCAATAAAAAAGGTTTCAGTGCTCCAAATATTTCAGCTTTCCCATCCTTCTTAGCTTCTCCTACTCTACTCAAGAACAAGGCAATTAGCTAATCAACAATAATTTATATTTTAAGAAGGAGACACGAATGAGCTTCTCATATTTTTTTTGCTTCGTCACACACACATACACACACTTACTCTCTTCTGTCTGTTCTCATCAACGTCGTCAGCTTTTTTCTTGACTGACGTCATTGCCTCCAGCTATGGTATTCACTCTCTCATTTCGTCTTCAACACTCTTTTTCTCTAAACTTTGCCATTATGTTTCTTTCTCTCGTTTCCGCTGCCACTCTTATTCCCTCACACACTCGTAGCTCCATATCGATCTTTCGCTTCAGCCCCTCAGGCCCTCCTCACCCGGCTCCACGTCCTCCGCCCACGTCGTCGTCGTCATTTCAACAGCCTCATGGCTCTTCTGATGCGGTCTCCGCTTCTTTTTTACCTATTTTGGGCCGTATCAGCTGGTCCCATCGATGAATGGAGTCGATACCATAACCATGAGCAAATGGTTGAGAAGCTTGAGCAAATCAACCAAAAATGCCCTGAGGTAAGTAGCTCAAACTGTTTTTCTCATTGTTTTATATGGATATATGGGATTGTTTTGAGTTTCAAAAAATTGTTTCAATGTTTCATTGATTACTCTCATACCCAAATGAAGTCCAATCGTTTAAAGCCTGTTAAGTATGTTAATGAAATATGTATTCAGATCACAAGCCTTTACTCAATCGGAAAATCGGTTGAAGGCCGCGACCTGGCCGTCATCCATTTCTCAACAACCCCTGGAGAACATATTGCTCGTAAGTTATTTGACATCATTTTTTTGTTGAAAAAAACATGAAAGTTCAAAAAACGAGAGATGTCTCTCACCTAGCAATGAACCAAGAGAACTAGAGCAATACAAAGAGAGCAGTGAGAATTAGAAGAAATGAAAAGTTTTATTCTGTTGTAGAATTCAGAATGAGAGTTTTATGATTATGACGAAGGTTGTTCCATAGAGAGTGTTCATGATTGAGAATCAATTTTAAATATCAAATGAACTGATGCTTATTTGAGAATATACTTTCTAAGAATAAAAGAATGTTATTAAACGAGAGGACGACGTCGTCTCGTTCATTATTGTTGAGGAAAAAGCAAAGCCATCTGGGTTTCGCCTTTGGCAAGAAAATCTCGCAAGCTCGTGATATGACGTCACAGTGTCATGAGAATATCTAAATGGCTGCATTCGTCTGAAAAGTTTTAAGAAGGTGAACAAAAAGAAAAGAGAAAAAGAAGAACAAAGTATAAAGAAGAGATGAAGTATAGAATGATCGCAGAGAGAGGGAGAGAGCATAGAGAGCAAAAGAAATTTGGCGGTGCACAAGTGACAAGCTGTCCCCGTCGTCGTTCCCACTCGTACCCAATGTAATTAGTTTGAAAGATATAAAAATATTGCGAATCAAATCCATCAAAAAGATAATGATGTGAGTGACAGACGATTTGCTTATCACTTCCCTCTTTATGAATGATATGAAAGATGTGAAACTTTGAACCTTTTTTCAGTTAAGCCTGAAATGAAATATATTGGAAATATGCATGGAAACGAAGCCATCGGACGTGAATTATTAATCCGATTAGCCGATTCACTGTGCGAAGGAGTTCATAATAAGGATAAAGTAAGAAATGAATAAACATTAGGCTCAAAGCTCATTGATATCATTTTGAAGGAAATTATTCAACTTCTCAACTCAACTTCTATTCATATAATGCCAACCATGAATCCTGATGGATTTGAAATGGCACTGAACACGGTAGATTATTGAAGCTTAAGCAAATTCACATCATTTTTTGATATTTAGGATGCTTCATCTCGATCATGGCTTACTGGACGATCAAATGCTAACGGTGTTGATTTGAATAGAGATTTTCCCGATCTTGACCGAGTCTTTTACTTCTTGAAACAAATGGAAATTCCTAAATTTGACCATTTAATGGATCTCATTGCTGAAGATGAAGGCGATGTACGATTTTCGAGCTTTAACCTCTTCCGCTAATTATGAATTTTATTTTAGCTCGAGCGACAACCTGAAACAATTGCTGTTCTCAGCTGGGTGATGAAGTTGCCATTCGTTTTGTCCGCTAACTTGCACGAAGGAGATTTGGTTGCCAACTATCCATTTGATTCCAACTACGCCAAAGATTATTCGGAAGTTAGCGAATACTCTGCTTCTCCCGACGATGGAACATTCCGTTGGTTGGCTGAAACTTATGCCCAAAACACTGCTCACATGGCAAAGAATGATCATCCACCATGCGATGGAAGCAGTAATGATGCTTTTGCTCGTCAAGGAGGAATCACCAACGGCGCCAAATGGTATGCCGTCAGTGGAGGAATGCAAGATTTCAACTACTTGGCTTCTAACTCATTCGAAATCACTGTTGAGCTCAGTTGCGAAAAGGTAACTTTTTAAGAAAGCATCTACATTAACAATTTGATGTGTTAAGATGCCAGCTGGAGCAACATTGCCTCAATACTGGAAAGATAACCAGAAAGCTCTGATGGAGTACATGTTCAAGGTATCCAATTACTTGTCGTATTTTGTACATTTCTTTTTCAATAGGTACATTCCGGAATTAAAGGAGTTATTGTTGATGCTGAAACATTCGAGCCAATCCCTGATGCTGGAATTTGGATAAAGAACAAGACCGAAGTTGTTGCTCATCCCGTCACAAGCTGTAAATCTATTTCATTAATTACTTTTCTCATGCCAATAATTCAGGGATCAATGGAGATTACTACCGTATCTTGCCCGAAGGAACATATGAAGTTCAAGTTATGGCTAAGGGATATGAACCACAAGCTCAGAACGTGAGCTCTCTTTCTAACTGTTCTGTTCAATCAAAATATTTTATAGGTTACCATAACCAACAAAGCTCGTGACACCGCCCAAATTGTTAACTTCTCCTTGAAGCCAGTTGCTGATCCAATTGCTGTAAGCTGAACATGAAAAGAAATATTCGTAACTGTAATGATTGCAGGTTCAACAATTGGATGATATTGTTTCCGAATTGAATGAAATGTATGATCAACCTCAACAACTAGATGAATAATCTAGAAGTGAACCACAAGAAAATAATAATTTCATCCTCTCCCTGATCTCATACATTCTATCTTTAGTACGAGTCTATCAACCATCATTTCAATCTATAACGATACCTTTTAAATAAATCATTTTTTCTAACAATTCTTTTCAATCAACATAATCAGACATAATGTTCGTGAACTCTGTAATGAATCCGCGAATGCGTTTTCCGAATATTTCGAGACTGAAGTACTAGATTCATGGCTGGAGCAATAGAGACTGGAAAAGAGAAATATCGGCTAGTCCTTATTTCGTGGTTTCATGTTGAAACGGGGCAAAAGCTCTTCTACCGTTCAGACTTTGTAAACGAAGGAGTC